GGTCTTTAAGAGGAGGCTGGATGAACACCTTGCTGGGCTCATTCAACCCCAGTACTCTTCCTGCCATGGCAGGGGGTCGGACTTGATGATCTGCTCAGGTCCCTTCCGACCCTACCAACTATGAAACAGTACTGATAGCTGTGGCTGTTTTGGAAAAAAACTTTTCATTATAAGACTGCTTTATACTTCCTATACATTAGACAATTGATGATGTGAATTGAAAGGTCCCAGGCTTATTCTTTGCCTGAGGTTAAAACATTTTAAGGATTGATGTAAAAAAGTCAACCATTTCCACGTACCAGGTAAATAATATAGTGTTAACAGCACTCATGGGAAAAACAAACCTGGGTTGTTTTAAGGCTTTTGTCTGCGTGTTTTCAGGTAGCTCCTAAAGACTTGGCAGTGGCATTGTCCTGAGGTTGGAAACAAGACACTTCTTCATTATAAATCAGTTATATTTGGGAAAGGGATTTCAGTTTCTGGGATCATTGGAAATTAGGGCTGGAAGGGACTTCACAAGGTTACCAAATCCCGTCCCTGGCTCAGAGCAGGATCATTCCTGACTATCATCCCAGAAAAGTGTCCATCTAATCTGCTCTTAGAAATTTCCATGGATGGAGATTCTATAACCTCTATGTAGCCTGTTCCAGTGCTTAACCACCCTCATACCGGGAAAGTTCTTCCTGCTCTTCAAGCTAAAGTCTCCCTTACTGCAATCTAAGGCCATTGCTTCTAGTTCTGTCCTCTAGGGCCACAAAGAGGAATGCATCTCCATCCCCTTGAACACTTATCGAATCCCCACCCCCCTTCTCCTATAGACTAAATAGAATCATAGAATAGAAGGACCAAAAGGGACTTGTAAGATCATCAAGTCTGGTCCCCTGCCATGGGCAGGAGGTGACTGAGTTCAAATGAGCTCAATGAGGTGCCTGCCCAGCCTCCTCTTGAACACCTCTTCTTGAATAATCCTAGTTCTTTTAGCCTTTCCTCACAAGTCATGTTTTCCAGACCACTAAACAGCTTGTCACTCACTACTGGACTCTTTCCAGCCTGCCCCCATCTTTCCTGAAGGGCAAAGCCCAAAACTGGAGACAGTTCTCCAGGTGAGGCCTCACCACTGCCAAACAGAACAGAAGAATCACTTCCCTTAATTTGCCTATGATGTTCCTATTAATATAACCCAGTATGCTATTGCTTTTTTATCCCCCTGCACCAGAAGCATATTGTTGGCTCATATTCAGCTTATGGCCCACCGTAACTCCCACATCCTTTCCTGCAGTGTTGCAGCCTAACCAATCATTCCCCAGTCTGTGTTTGTAAAGCAACTTATGATGCCTACAGTCCTGGTTGCTTAATGAGTGACAGATGGAGCACTAGTCAGATCCTTTTTTATCGTACACAGTTTAAAACCCTGCTTCCAGATAACACTTTAAAAAGAAAGGATTTCTTTCTGCCTTGTCTCACTTGCAGGATCCTGTTATCTATAATGGCACGGCAGTTCCTACAGCAAAAGGTGTGATCTGAACTCCAGAGGCTTAAAAACTTTGGCTTCCATGCCTCAGCTGCTAAGTCTACTTAGTGTGAACTGGGAAGGGAAAACGAAAAACCAAATAAATGTTTGCATTGGACTTAATTTTTTGAGCCTAACAGTCCACAAATCCTTTCAGAACTGACACCTAATAAAATGTTTCTCAGCACTGAAAAACAAAAACCAGAAGAGTTTGTCTTAAATACATTAGATACTTGCTAATTTGATGTAGCACCACTCAGAAAACAACCATTTCTACCCCTTTTAATTACTCTAAGGACTAAAAAAAACACTATCCCAAAATTTCAGGACAGGTTCCCGGCTGTGTCTTTCAAACACTTGCCACGAAGCTTGGCTTTTTCAGATTAAGCTAAGTTTACAATTCTCAACCAGGAGTTACGGCCCTCAGGGACGCCATAAGATCCTTTTAAGAATATGTCATGGATGCCACACAATATTAGCACATGCTGTGCAACCATCTATATGCGATTCACAAGGTAAACCCAAATATTTTTAAAACAGGAATCTACAGTTTCAAATGTTCTGACCTATTGTGGTCTGAGTTCTTTGCAACAGAGGAATTGCTCTGTTTTTCCACAGTTTAAAGAAAAAAAAAAAAAAGTGAAAGCTAAGATCTAGCATTTTTTAAGGATGCTTTGAGTCTGAGTCTTCAAAAGTTGAGAGCCACTGATTTTAAATCTACAAAAGCTCTGAGATCCTGCCAAGGAGAAAGTTAAAGTAAAACTCCGGAAAGGGTAGAATTTTACTACTTCAAAGTAGATTTCGAAAGGTAACAATCTGCAAATTCAGATAAGTAGAGATTCATTCCAACTCCTGTAGTCAGTCTGTCTGGTAGCCCCTGGAAACATTGATGTGCATGCAAAACACAGCAAAACCATCTTTAATACACTATGAAGTAGCTGACATCAGGATCTACCCAGATAACAAGCCGAACTGTTTCTAGTAAACACATGCTTTGTTTTCTTCTGCAGAGGTATGAAGGTTATTGAAAACAGAGCAATGAAGGATGAAGAGAAGATGGAAATTCAGGAGATGCAGCTGAAAGAGGCGAAGCATATTGCTGAAGAGGCTGATCGCAAATATGAGGAGGTAAAAGGGTGGTGTAAGAAACCAGTCACTGTAGGCAAAAATTATCATTGAACAAAAGAATTAAAAGAAATGCTGTAGTTGCTGTAACATTATTCCAGCTTTGAACTAGTTCTCAGAACAAAGACAAAAATGCAGTTCCTAACATATTCTGACTTCACATGAAATGAGTTTGCCCTCCTAGCATCTCAGGGTACCCAATGCTCAGAGCATTCCAATTCTTTCTTCTTCCAGTGGAGGAACCCTTGCATCCTGTTGTGTCTCCCTTGCCACCAATGTTACAGTGGCAACTTAACTTGGACCAAATCTTTAAGATGCTTTTCATAGATTACATGCATCCACAGAGTGCCATTTCTAACAAGCATCAGGCAGCGGAGAGGGAAAGCTGTAAGGACAGACGGCTTTGAGGGACAAATGAGGATTATGGAATGATTCAGGTGGCTTTAAAAAAAAAAAAAATGCTTTTTGCAGGTTGCCCGTAAACTGGTCATTCTGGAAGGTGAACTCGAGAGAGCTGAGGAACGTGCTGAGGTGTCGGAACTGTGAGTAGCTGTTCAGGATAATTTCTCATACGGCAAAAGCTTAGAATATAAAACTACTGATGTAAAGGTTTCTTAAAGGCCTATGCAGGATCACTTCCTATTATCTATAACTATCCAGCACACAGCTTTCCAGGTTTTCATACGGACCATTGCTGTAGTACGCAAGTACTGAGACTCTTCTATTTAAGCACTACTAGTGTTATAAGGAAATGTGGTGTGATTGAGCCACGTGGCAGTGGTGTTAAATATATTGGGGGAGGGGGAAGGTAAAGTATAAAAGAACAACCCAACGTCAGAACACTTATCTAAGTCTTAAGCTTCACAAACATTTGTATTTTATGCACAACCAAATAACTGGGCAACACACGAGCACCACTCTCCAAACACTGCAAAGGTGCTTCCAACAGTCATGAATCTGAAAACTTCTGTTGCCATGCACATGAGTTCTGTTCAGAGAACAAACAACTTTCTTGAATTTAAATTCGTAACAAGGTGCATTTCATTAGAAAAATCCCTATTAAAATGCAGTTTTCAGAGCACATTTTGGAAAAATGAAGCAAAACAAAACCCACACAATACTATAAACATTTTAGGGACAGACCCCACTTAATCTATGGAATGCCTAAGTGCAGTCCTATTCCACCTCGTTTGAGTCCCAGAAAAAAAAAACCAACACATTAATTCATCTATTTTTGTAACACACCATCAATCACCCTAACCCTAACATGAAGTCACAAAGAAGCAGTAAGGAGGAGGACAAGGACCCACCACTTAGTGTGCTGAGACAGTAGAATGTGACTCAGTTCAGCATTCTGGACCTTTTGCAAAGTAAGCTTCATCATACAAGGAACATAAAAGAACTGACTTACTCAGCTTTCGTCTTTCTGTAGTAAATGCAGTGACCTTGAAGAGGAACTAAAGAACGTTACTAACAACCTGAAGTCCCTGGAGGCTCAGTCAGAGAAGGTTGGTGCTTCCCATGTAAAAATATAGAATGCTTGGGTCTGAAAAGAGACTGAAGTTGGTGACACAGATGTACATTTCCTCAAAACTGTTTGGGGAGGGAGGTAATTCTTAAAGATAATGAGGTAAATTGTTGCAGTCTATCTTGACCTCCTGCACAAAAGAAGGCATCAATTTCCAGTTCAGTGACTGATCACTCTCACTGTAAAGACAAAAATTCTACACCACCAATAGGAAATTAGGACTGGAAAGGATCTCAGTGTCATCTAGTCCAGCCCTCTACTCAAGGCAGGATCATCCCTGTCAAGTGTCGGTCCACCATGCCCTGGCGAGAGGAAACACTTTGTTGGTAGTATTTTTTTATTGGACCGACTACACGGTTGGAACCTGCTCCTGAAAATTTCCAGGAATGGGGATTCTACAAGCTCTTCAAGTAGCCTGTTCCAATGCTCAACCATCCTCACAGTGAGAAAGTTCTATTTAACCTCCAACATAAATTTCCCTAGCCACAATTTAAGGTCATCGCGCCTGTCCTCTATGGACACAGAGAAGAGTGCATCTCCTCTATTTGCACCCTCCAAGTACTTCAACACCATTATCAAATTCCCCTGTCTCCCAACCTCCTCATTTCTTCTCCTTTCTAAACTAAATGACATGTGGTACTCTGCATTTGCCTTTATAAAATCATCTCGTTTATTTCAGAGCCTCTGGGTAATTTTTCAAGATCACTGTGAATTCATGGTGTCCTGTGAAGTGTCTCCTACCCCAGTTTAGTTTCACAGGAAAAAAAGTACACTGTATTCCATCATCCAAATCATTACTGACAAATATTGGGTGGAAATGAACATAAGACAGATTTCTGTGGGTTCACCTCCCCAAGAATGTCCATTGAGTTTCTTGGGGAATGTGTTAGCTAAATGGGTGCTGATACCAGCTATGACTACAGATACACTTGTAGACCAAAAAACTGGATTCTGAGGAGGGATTTGAAGAAGCAGAACAGCTTATTTTTGGGAGATGGAGTTATATATGAAAAGTAAAAGTTAGTTGCGCTGCATATGTTCTAGCAAGGGAAAACTTAGAATACAGCTGTGGTGGAAGTCTAAACCTTCAGAGACACTGAGCAAAAAAAGGGACTTTGACCTATGAAATGAAATGACTGTGGCAAGGAAAGGGGATGAAAGTTCAGAAACAGAATTTTAGAGTAACTGGAGGCTGCATATTATTTCTTAATGGCCCCAACAGCCTAGCAAACTTCAATTGCCTAATCAGCTCTGTTTCAACAAACTCTCTTAAAAAGATCAACCATTATTTTCACAGTACTCTGAAAAAGAAGATAAATATGAAGAAGAAATCAAGCTTCTCTCTGACAAACTCAAGGAGGTAAGACAATATGTCCCAGTTAAGTGGAATCCTTGTGGATTGTTTTCTGGTCCAGAATTTAACTTTGTCTTTTTCCTAGGCTGAAACCCGTGCTGAGTTTGCAGAAAGAAGTGTTGCTAAACTGGAAAAATCTATTGATGATCTGGAAGGTATGAAATCCCTTTGTTTATACAAGCCATCAGTTTCAAAATGGGGAAAAAATAATTTTAGCACATCACTGGGTCAAGAGTGGAATTTTTATGCCATTGCAGTTAACCAGCCAGTCAAGAACATAGTTGAAATGTACTTCTCCCTCAGTAGCTTCCTCTACAATACATCCACTTAATAGTACTGTCAAATCAGAGGACTTCACAGATGTGGCACTGCACTCACTACTTGCATCAGGACCATTTAAAAACATCTGAGACCCCACTACGACAGTATGGCATGTGGAACATTTAATATAGTGCGTTTAATAGAGAGAAAATGCCATGCTGCAGAATTCCTTATTTGTTAAATCTAATCAAATCCCTTGGCAGACAGTGAATATGCCCAGTGCCTCCCATGTACCTGAATTTTAAAATCTTGTCCCCACTGAATACCAGCTAGTGCTGCTCATCATCAGAAAAACTACATCAGCTATCTGGTACGAGTTCCCAATAAGCTGTCCTGCAGACGGAAGGGCTTTGCACGGCAGATTGATACGACTTATTTTTCAGTTATAGCTGTGGTTTCTGTAAAGTTTTTCAATTCACTGTGAAGAATTTAATTGTGTGGGAAATCACTGATAGTAATCAGTGTCTGGAGACAGGAGGACAGGCTGCAGGGACAAAAATCAAACTGGACTATAAAGTTTGAGATTTCAGTAAAGAGACAAAGTAACAAAGCTCTTTTAAACTGTGCAAGTATCTGAAGTAAAAGGAATATCAAAGCCTCGCTCAAAGATCAAGTAGGAGTGTTGTCAAGCAGATTGAGGGAAGTGATTACTCTCCTCTATCTGGCACTGGTGAGACCACATTTGGAGTGCTGTGTCCAGTTTTGAGACTGCCCCCCCCCCCACTTACTACAGAAAGGATATGGATACATTTGAAAGAGTAGAGCAGAAGGCAGCAAAACTGGTTAAGGGGTTGGGGCACATGACTTCTGAGGAAACTGGGCTTATTTAGTCTGAAGAAAAGACTCAGGGGGGATTTAATAGCAGCCTTCAACTCCCTGAAGGGTGGTTCCAAAGAGGATGGAGCTGGACTGTTTTCAGTGGTGGCAGGTCACAGAACAAGGAGCAATGGGCACAAGTTCCAGCAAGGGAAGCTGAGGTTAGATAGGAAGAAAAACTCCCACCAGGAGGGTGGTAAAGCACTGGAACAATTTACCCAGAGAGACTGTGGAATCTCTACCTGTAAAGGTTTTGAAGACCCAGCTAGACAAAGCCTTGGCTCAGATGATACTTGGGAATGGTCCTGCTTTGAGCAGGGGGTTGGACTAGGTGACCTCCTGAGGGCCCTTCCAACCCTCATTTTTTATGACTTTACAAGTCTAACAACTATCTGATAATGAAGGAATTTAGGCACTCACCAGTATGAACACCCGCATACCTATGTAAGATACTTAGGTAGGAAATGGCTTTGTGCAAATATGTAATTATTTAGTCATATTACCCTCACCATGGTTACACAGTGAGCTATGAACTGGCTCATGATGCTACCATCATTGTTCATCTCTTTCTGTTCACTTCAGTAAGGGAACATTCCTATCTAAAGGGCTTAGTCAGTCTGTCTGTGATTGGTTAGTGAAATGGGGGTGGGGCACAAGGCCAGCAGTGCTGGAGGCAGTGGTGGCGTGGGGTGCTGGCAGAGCGGGGCAAGCTCCCTCCACACTCTTGGGAGGAGGCAGTAGCGCTCCGTCCCCACTCCCCCCTTCCCCCCCATCATTTTTGACAGGCAGTTCACTAGTAGAGGAATAATTATGTAAAACAGTGCTTTACAGTCCTCATGCAACAAACTCAAAGAAATATAATCCTTTTTCAGTAACACTTTATGCAATTTCTTATTTAGTCTAACTTTAAAAAAAAATGTTATCAAGGTTGTGTCAATTTAATTCTACCCCTGCAACTAACATATAATCATCTTCTGCCCCCTTCTTCTCTGCTCCTCCTTGTCGTTGTCTCTTTTGGGACTGAACAATGACAATCAAAGCTATGCAGGCTCAAAGTCATGCAAAAAGATAGCAGAGCTATCCAGAAAGATGGAGATTTATGGTATGACAACTGTTTGCCAAAATGTCACAACATTTTTTAATGTTTGCTTTCATTGTCAAAAGCCAAGATAACTACTTACATACCAAATGCACCTAACCAAGGGGCCTTTGGTACTTAATTAGTAGGAACAGAGTTTACCCAATTGATTGGTGATCACTAGAAAAAGCCAGCCTCTACATCTCTTAAAACTGTTTAAGTCGAAACTCTTAATTTTAGGCATTTCTTACATGTGTATAATCTGTGCTTCGTATGAATAGTCTCCTCCCTTTTTTTCCCCCCCCCCCCTCTTATTTTCCACTGTTCATCTTCACTTGATACATTCTGATGCTCTCCTTTTTCTCTACTCTGTACCTTTCGCTGTGGACTGTTTTACTCCATCTCTCGTTGAACCATCTTTGGGCCATCCTTTGTAGATGAGCTGTATGCTCAGAAGTTAAAGTACAAAGCTATCAGCGAGGAACTTGACCATGCTCTTAACGATATGACCTCTTTGTAACTAGCAATTCTCCTAGCTTTGTTCGATGCTCTTTAAAAATTTTCGGCCTGTAATGCCGATCTCTGCACGCAACCCTTAACATCAAACTTTTAGCTTGTTCTGTAAAAACTGATTTAAATAAAAACAACTTTATCTTGCTGCCTGTGAACAATCAGATTGCTTTATTTCCTTCCCACCATTAATGACGTAAGTACCTTTCCCAGAGCTTCTTATTCAGCCACAGTAACAGATTGTAGCAAAGCCCTGTATTTTCACTAGGATGCTTTAGAAAGAGTATTGGATTACCTCATGAAACTGTGTTTAAGTGTCACGTGCACAGGCATATACTCACAGCGTGCGCGCGCACACTCACACACCCTGACCAATTCATGTTACTTTAAAATGTACCTGAAAAAAATTACGTTACTGACTTGGAAGTAAACATGGTGTGGCTGGAAAAGTAAGACTGCCATCAAAGGCTGCTAATATCATTCACAGAACTTAAATTGGATTATAGCTAATTATGTGCCTGAAACAAGTGACCCCTATCCTGAGACAGCAAAAGCCAGATAAAAGGTTTAGGCATACTTACTATTTTCCACTTCATTTGAGAGGCTAACCTACTTCATTTTAGCCTATTATACAGTGAAACAAATGCACATACTGAAAGGAATCTGAAATTTGACCAGTGTAAAATAACCAGAATAGAGCCAACAGACGGGAAAAGCTGAAAAGCAACAACTCTGACAGAGGCCTAGGCACAGAGACGACTATAGGAGGGTGCAAGTCAGCCGGAACAAGGCCCCTTTAACACTCTGAGGGGTGGGGCCACAGCCACTCCCACCTGGCTCTGCAGGGCCCCCCACAAGGCACAGAGCTCAGGACCATTGCCTTGATTGGCTACCCTGCCTAGGCATCATAAAGGGCGGAAAAACAGAACCTGTAGTGAGATATGTGAAAAGGCCGGTTCTTTTTATAAGCAGAATGTGTGCGTGCATTATGGGTGATGAATAATCATCACTCTGCATGAGTATTATTCCAGCTGTCAATGTGCATTTACTTGGGGGCATATTGTTACCAGAGAATGACAAGCGAGCGTGAATTCAGAGCCAAGCATTAGCGCGACTAGCACACTGAAAAGCAAGGTATCAGGAAGTGAAAGCAGACGCAGTCTTCAAATACCCAAAAGGTGCTTACAGAGAGGGTGGAGATGGGTTTTTGTCTCTGGCAGCAGGCGAGAGGACTAGGAGTAATGGACTCAACATGCAGCAGAAGAAAGTCAGGCTTGCAGTCAGGAGGAGCCGTGTCAGATACTGGGTGGCCTACCTCGAGGAGTGGCGCCGTCTCCGTGCTTGGAAGTTTCCGAGAGCGGATTGGACGGGGGCTCGGCTGGGACGGTCACAAGCACGGATCCGGGGGATGAGATGGTCCCCGTTTAATCCGCACTTGACGCAACCCGGTCTGCGGTGGCTTCTTCTTGCACACACACTGTTGCCGACTCTGGTTTTGCCCGCGGGCCGTGCCGGAGTGCAGGCAGGGCCCGGGGAGGCTGGAGAGATGCTCGGGACCAAAGGCCCCGCTGACCGTGGAGGCACCGAGCGCCCGGGCAGGGGCGGAGCCGGTCCCGAAACGAAGGAGGCGTGGCCCGGCCCGCTCCTGCCCCGCGGCGCCCTAGACCCGGCCCAGCACGGAGCGCGGCCCCATGCCACGCCCGTCTCACCTCAGCACGAGGTGGGCGGTGTCGCTAAGCGGGAGCGCAGGCCTTCGCTGCCGCCGGCTAACGGGCCTCGCGAGCACTCTGCACCCGCTGCGGGGCCGCAAGCCGGCCGGAGTCGCGGGCGGGGCGGGGCGGGGCGGCGCGGGGCCGGGCCTCCTTACAGCGCCAGGTCTAGACGCCTTGGCGGAGGGGAGGGGCAGCGCCCCACCACAGCGCTCCTCCTCCGCTATCTCTGCCCGCCAATCGGCGCGGCTCCTCACCCGGCCCGCGCAGCTGGCCAATAGGAGCACGAGTGGCCCGGCGGCAAGGCGGGTCCTCCGCTATACGCGTCGCCTTCCTCTTCCTGCTCGGCTGCCGAATGAGCCGGGAGTTGTGTGACGCACGGCGCGGCCAGCCAATAAGAGTGCAGAGCAGGGGTGATGGGCAGGCAGGTCCTCCTGTGGGGCCACGGGCAACGTGAGCGCTTCCGGAGGGGGCGGGGCCCGGGGAACATGGCGAAGACTTACGATTATCTCTTCAAGCTGCTGCTGATCGGGGACTCGGGTGTGGGCAAGACGTGCGCGCTCTTCCGCTTCTCTGAGGATGCGTTCAACGCCACCTTCATCTCCACCATCGGTCAGCGCGAGCGTGGGGCAGGGCCCGGGGAGAGGGGCCGGAGCCGGAGCTGGGGGTAGGGAGCCGGGGAAGGGGCCGGGGATACAGGCAGGGCCCGGCGCCGGCACTCACACTGCGGCTACCCCTTCAGGCATCGACTTCAAAATCAGAACCATAGAGCTGGACGGGAAGAGGATCAAGCTGCAGATCTGGTGAGCGCCCACCCGCCTGGCGCTGCGTCCCCCTTGGCTGCGCGGTACTTGGGGGTGCTGCCCGGCCGGCTCAGCAGCAGGCTGGTGGAGGGGCCGTGCCCTTCCGCTGCTTTGCGAGAGCGTGCGTGCACAGCTGGGAGGAGGCCGCTGGCGGCTGTCCCATCAGAAGTCGGGTTCGCTGTTCTCACGTGCTAACGTGTGTTTCAGGGACACTGCCGGCCAGGAACGGTTTCGAACAATCACCACAGCCTACTACAGAGGAGCCATGGTAAGGGCCGTGCGGGGTTGGACCACAGCTTAGGACTGTTTGTAAGCATCTAGGGCTTGTCACGAAGCCTGCATAAGCGGCCCTCGTTTAACCATGCTCAACCACGCATCTGTTCCGGCCGGGGCTTCCATCCCTTAGTAGTGCAGCTGGTGAAGCGAGGAGACGGGTGACACGCTGGAGTCCCGCAGTCCGAATGCCAATAAGACTTGCTACGTAAAGCCTTGTGCAAAGGCTTGTTAGTGAGAGATGAATAAATGGCATGTCTTGCTAAAGAAAACCCAAGCTGCAATTTAATTACACCTAGCAAAATGAGTTAGTGTAGCGTGTAAGGAATTTTTTTTTCCATGACACTGCCTCTGGCAAGTTAGCTTGGCTTTAGAACTAATGCATGCATTTGTTTGTGTTTCATTCAACATTGACATAACTCCTTATGTTCTTTCTGTACTGGGTTTATTTACCATCCTTGCTGAAATAAGCATGTTAAAATTAACTAGTCAGGTTTTCTTTAATCTATAGGGCATCATGTTAGTGTATGACATCACCAATGAAAAATCATTTGAAAATATTCAGAATTGGGTCCGGAATATCGAAGAGGTAATTTCTTTGTACCTTTTTTTGTTTTTTATTATTGTCTACAAAAAATATAGCTTCCATGCAGACTTTAGAAAAATAGCTGCAGTTCACATTTTATGTTCGTTGTCTACTTGTGGTCTGAGAGAATATTTGGGGAGTAGGAAGGAATGTAATTTTCATTTTTGATGCCAACTTGGCAACGTTTTCTGAAACTTACTGCTGATAATTCACACCATTCACGTCTGAGGCCAGGCTGGACAAACCATGGCGCTTTCCTCTTCCTTGGGTATTTTAACTGATAAGTGTTTCTAACTAACAATATTCTAACTTGGGAGCGGCCAATCTGTGTCATGGGCAGCCTCTGTGTGCAGCATGCAACACGTGGAACAAGGTACACAGGGCCACAGGCAGAAAATAGAGCAGCAGATGAGGCGGAGGGAATTTTATAATTCCAACTTTGGCAGGTTCAGAATGGGGAGAGGAGCGAGTACACTGGTGGGTCTCAACATGTTGAGACTTAAGGCACCACCCCTTTATAACTTTTGTGAATTGAATGACACCCCACTTCAAAAATTAATTTAATTTATTACCCCTCTTTTGTAGAGGGGTTGGGCAACGGGGGCAGGGGAGCAGCCAAGCAGGGAGAGCCTGCTCTATCGGCTTGCTTCCTCACACCTGGACCCTGAGCCTTCTCTTATCTACTCACATCTCCTGCAAATGATCTTGCAGCATTCTGCGGTACTGCAGCGTACTGTTTGAGAATCACTAGATTAGGCTGTGGTCCTGGCCTGCCATCCTTAACTGTGTACAGAACATAATGTTCTTTTTTAAGATATAATGTGTTGGGTAAATGTATTTGTAAGAACCAGCAAATGATTTACACAAATAATTCTTAGTGTTAAACCAACTTCCATTACAGCATGCATCCCCAGATGTTGAAAAGATGATTCTTGGAAACAAATGTGATGCAAATGACAAAAGACAGGTTTCCAGAGAGCAAGGAGAGAAGGTAAGCACTGCAGTCTACCTGCATCCTGGTCTTAGCATGGAGGCCATCTTGTGTTTGGGTACAACCACTGAATCCTGCAAGCTTCTGAGCCTCCTAGAGCTGGCCTCTGACTCTTTCGTTGTTCTCAATCTCTAAAGTTCACTCCAGATGCAGACCCTATAACGTGTCTGCCCTCAACCCTGGAATCTTGGGTGTAGCCCTCCTGAGCCTGTAATTACTTAGACATGTAACCATTCTTCAAGCCCATCTGGCTACGGAAACTCTGCTTTCTTAATGTTTTGGGGTCAACTTGGTAGTAAGGAAGGAATGAAGATTTAGCATGGGAGTCTCTTAACTACAGACAATTAATTGCATCAATTAGAAAAAATAAAAGCCTCACTCTTAGTGCCTATTTTTACAGGTTTTGTTTTTCTAAATCACATTCCTTATGCAAAAATATGAGGTCTGCCTTTACTCTTTTTCATTGATTTAGGTATCCTGTCAGGTTTGTAATGTCTACAATTCAAAGAAGTGTGTATTTAAAAAGTGACCTTAAATACAGTGCTATTAATATTTTAAGAAAAATCACAAGTTAAATCAGTGTAACATAATTGAAAATCGGTTTTAGTTGAGGAGAATTTTTTCTTGAACTTTATAATTAGCAGTATTACAGCATCAGTAATTGTTCAGCAGCATAAGAAGTGCAGTTTAAAGCTGTAATTCTGCTTTCGCATTTTCCTGCTCAGTGCTACAGTAGGTTCCGTTTTTAATGCAGAACTAATACTAGGTGTGGCCCAGATCTAGCTAACTAATGGCAAATCTTTATTTTTGTTTAGCTTGCTGCCAGTTTTGGAATTAAGTTCATGGAAACCAGCGCAAAAGCAAATATTAATATAGAAAATGTAAGTACTGAGGCTTTTTTTTTTTCTATAGGCAGCTATTCTGTTAAGATTTGCCTGAGAGAGCAGTACGAGCACCATTCTTTTGACTATACACAAAGTCCTATCCAGAAGTTACTGGTGATGGTTTTTTCACTGATGTTATCTACCCTGTGGAGGTAATATTCAAAGAAAGTATCACGCTAAATGGCTTTTCTTAAAATATGTACTCTTTGGATTGAAATGAATCATAAAGCCAGGAGGCAGAATTGGTGCAAAATAAGCCAGATGCATGAGAGTGCGTGTTTCTATTAATACTTGGGGGAAATTTCCTAGGGAAGAAAACTTGGAGGAAGCAGGTAAGTGGGACAGAAAACAAATCAAGGTTATGGCAAAGCAGAATGGTTCTGCTCCCTCCCCCTTGCCTCCCTGCAACAGCTTAGCTTGTGAAGTGGGCAATAAAACCCTGCTATAGCTCTACAGGATGAGATGGGGTGATAAGGGAAAGTGGTTTGGGGGATTGAGGCCATGGATGGGAAGATTTGAGGGTGGTAGAACATTCTAAAATAGCATGTTGTTTTAAGTGCTAGTTAAAATGATATGATAGTTACTGTTATGGCTGACTTTATCAGTAAGAATGCTGTATCAAAGATGACAGTTTCTGTCCTGATAAATGGCTTGCTTGGCTTAGGACACTCTCTGCTGGCCCAGTGAATTAAATCTGTCACCATTTAAATATGGCATGGATGTTTTAGGTGGTATTTTGCTGCAGTTTTTTGGGCCACTGGAAGTTTCACTTGGGAAGCATCTTGAGATACTATTGTACTAATGTAATGCATCTTTCTACGTAGCTGGTATCCTGTATTTTTGTACTGACACTAAGTCATCCTAAAGTGAACTGCAGTGATTTTGTGCATCAAAGCAGTGTTTCGTTGTCCATGTCTGGATCAACAAGAATCAGCCCACGCACCTTTCCTAGTTAAAACCTGCTTTATGTGAAAAATTTCTGAACATTTAATTCAGTTGTAAAGTGCCATATTTTAAACTGTTGTTAAAGGCACTATGTGACATCTTACAGAAGTATTACCCTGCTGTAAAAGCGGACTTCCGACTGTAGTTCTAGGAAGAACCGTTTGTTAAACAAAATACTTAATGTGTCTAACAAAAACATTTCTATATGCTTTACTTGTAGGCTTTTTTCACTCTTGCAAGAGATATCAAGGCAAAAATGGACAAGAAATTGGTGAGTAACTAATAGTACATATAACTCATTTAAAAGGAAGCGCCAACTACAGTATCTGTTTTGACTAGAGCATCTATTTTTGGCAGGTTTTTTTTCAACTGCAACACAGTGGAGATAGTAGAAACTGTACTTTATCTTGCAACCAGTTCAGGATGAAATTTGAACACAAGATGATGGTTTTAAAACCCCAGGAATGAGTTGTGCCTGGGTTTAGAGGTTCTCTAAAATGACCTCTAACATTTGCTTTACTGAAAACGTGGTGAGACCCAGTCCAGTAATGATCCTCATTTTTACACTCAGAATCATTGAATCATAGAGATTAAAAATAAGGGAGGCCCGACAGCTGGTGTTGCATACCCAGTATCCTCCAAAACATCATCTGTTCAACCTTAATCCTGGGACCAGCTGTTATTATCAAATTGGTTCACACTGTGCATATCTAAGGTCTGCCCTCCATATAGCAGGTGAGACCTTATGGATTTTGTTCTTTTATTTATGAAACTAAAACTCTCACCTGGTTACTTTCATTAAGCTGACTCCTCAGCGCGTAGTTTGGTAGCCACCATCATCTATCAGATATAATTGAAACATTTGATTTTTAACAGGATATGCCCGGAGTCTCACCTCAGTAGTTTCTGAGACCCTTTAGGACACTGGTTCCCAACTTTTTAGAGTCACTGCACCCCTCTTTTGAACATGGTGCTGTCCCATGTTGAGAACCACTGTTGGTGCTACTTCAACTTAATTTAGCATTTCACAACCTGGTTCTGCTGCCCCTGAAAAATATTGCCCCAGGCTTGCTGCACAGATGACCTCAGAAGGCCTTTGGCATGTGTGCGCTCCTGCCATGGCCAGGTCAAACTGCCCTGTACACACTCCTGCTGGATGAAGACTGTGTTCAGCCTAAGGCTGAACAGGAGCTGCCTCATGCTGTGCAGTTTATGCTGGTCTGACCCCTCCTATGCACCTCCTGGAAATAAGTGTGCAGGTG